GTATTTTAGTCTTTATTTATAAGTTGTAAAGTATAGTTAGGATTTGTGGTGTTGGAAAGGAAGAATTTGAAGAGAAGAAAACAAGAAATTTGACTGCCCAGGAGTAAAACCCGACCGGGTAGAAACCCCCACCCGGTCAGGTATGATTTAACAGACGAAATTGCCAAGAAAATCACTAGACCCGGTCGGGTCCCCTACTTGACCCGGTCGGGTCAGATGTGACCTGGGACAAAACGACGTGCGAAGATCACCAGAACGTGGCGGATTATCTGATTTTGACCGGACCGGTCGGGTAAGTACTTGACCCGGTCGGGTACCCGGCCAAAGGTGTTGAAAAACACCTATAAATAGCACACTTTTTCTTCTCTAAAAATCATCCCTTCTTCCATACTCTTAAGCTCAGTTTAGAATAGCATTTCTTTATATTTTTCTAGCTATGTTTAGTCTCTAAATGAGGAGCTAAACTTCCATTCTTGGTGTTGCTCTTGAAGCTTGTTGATTATTAAAGTTGTGAGTTATTTTCTTAACTTCTTCTCTTGATTATTAATTCTTCCCTTAATCTCATTCTATATTAATGTTGGAGGGTTGCTAAGTGACGATTAGTTAACGTTCCGACATTAATTACTACTAGAAACGATCAACGAACCGATGGTTAATCGTTGGTGGTTTCACAAGTAAGTAACTTTGGTTTATTAATGCACGGTCGTGATTAATAGACTAAAGAGGGATCAATTTTGTTGGTTAAACCAAAACCGTTGTGTTAAGGTTATCAATCTCAATTGATTTCTTCAAGAAGTTAAAAAGATTGGATGCTACTATTATATCGGTATACGGCGTTGTTCTATATTTGATTAATAGTAAGGGTCATTAATGAACAGTCGTTGTTAATAACTACCCTCGATGAATTGGAGATACTCTTCGATTGAGTATTCGAGAGGGGATAAGTTATAGATATAACAAGGATCGACTAAAATATATCAACAAGTGGAAAGTAGCAAAGCCAAGTCCTTTTTATCCTTGAATTAAATCTCATATAGGTCGTTCATCTTAGCTTTTAATTTAATCAAATCATTCATCACTAAAACCCCTCTTTATTTACTAAAGTTTCATAAAAAGAGAATTGTTCCTTTCCCTGTGGATACGAACTCTACTACGCTATACTACGTATAAGTGTTAGTATCGAATTATTTTGACTCACCGTGACAAAGTGCTCGTCAAATTTGGCGCCGTTGCCGGGGAAAGGCAATTACTTTTCTTTTTAATTTTTCTCATAAAAATAAAAAACAAAAAAAAATATTTATATAAAAAAAATTGCTCTTCTATTTGCTGAGCTTACATGAGTTATGAGTATATGGATACCAACACTTCATCCTTAGAGAGTCAAATTTCCTTCTTGACTTCTCTAATAAAGGAATCTATCTTTAACTCAAAAGCTCAAGATGCCAAAACATGCAACATTTGCATGTCTCACAGGCATCTTACGGATTTCTGCCCAAAGCTCCAAGAAGAATACCTTGCACAAATTGATGATGTACCTCACATGAGGTATGATCCATTCTCCAACTCTAATATGTCCACGGAGGACATGGTTCGGGCTCTTACTAACAGTGTGACCGCCATGCAACAAAACATGGTGCAATTCCAAAATGAGACCAAGTCTAGCATTTTAAACTTGGAAACTCAAATGAGTCAAATAGCCGGAGTCGTGAGTAGGCTTGAAGCAAGGGATTCAGAAAAACCTCCTTCTCAACTAGAATGTGATCCTGAACAGCAAACTTTTGCAATCACATTGACAAATGAAAATGAAATGCAAAAGGAGATCCAGAATCCAGAAGAAGTAGAGGAAGAAAAAGACACGGAGCTCAAACTGGTCAAAGAGGATAATCTGAGCTTCAAGGTCAAATATCTATCCTTGTCATCTTTTGAGGTATCCCCATCAATTCTAAAAATTTTGAGGGAAACTCATAAACTTGGAAACAACAATGACATTTCTGAAATCCTCTTCAAAATTGAGGGATCGAAAAACTTTTCATTGACCATAGTAAACGATAATTTCTTCCCTTTCCACCCACTGCATGAATCAATGACAATCTGGATATTTGATCGTGGAATGATTCCCAAATTGAAGAGTCGATAAGTTGAGCACTCCTATGAACGTCCTAGGAGTGAAAGTGTGAAAAAGATAAACTATCATGATCCAAGTTTGAATGACTGAACACAATGATGGCGTCGTGCCGCGGCGTTAAATAAGGCGCTTCTTGGGAGGCAACCCATGCAAGGTACGTTTACTTGTTTTATTTTACACATTTCAAAAAAAAAAATCAGGGAAACAAACCCGGCCGGGTACACTACCCAAACCGGTCGGGTATCAGATCAAAACACTTCACCCACCCTGTCACCCGCGCGGGGCAGAAAATAAAAACGAAAAATTTTGAATTACCCGACCAGGTGCTTCATGAAACTTGACCAGGTTATCACAAAGGGAAGCTACTGCCACCCTTGGGAAAAGAAACTCGATCGGGTGAATGGAAAATATCATAACCCAATCCCTGGGATGAAACACCCGACCGGGTACACTACCCCACCCGGTCGGGTATCTCGATTTTTTTTGAAACCAGGACATTTCTAAAAAAAATGAATCACCCCCCTTTGTCTTCCCATTCGAACCACACCCCAAATTTCCTCCATTTCCAAAAGTCAAAAGCTTCATATCTCCTACATCCATCCACCAATTAAACTCATTTCATTCATCTCCTCTTCACCCTTTTCATCTCCACACCCACGAATCACCAACAAAACCTCCCAAAAAGTAACAAAAAAACACATTCATGTCAGACACAAGCACTAGGGACAGTGCTTTGATTAGCTTGGGGGGAGAGTTTTATGGAATACTCACATTCATACTCTTTATTCTTGTAAAAAAAAAATTATAAAAGCTTGTTAAGTTGAAAACCCGAAAGGGCAACTTAAGAAAAAATAAAGCAAAAATAAGAGTGAGTTGTGAGAATTAAAACAGAAAAATGTGGGAAACTAGGATAAAAACCCGAAAGGGCACCTAGGTAAAATGAGAGAACGAGAGAAAGTATTTTCTTTTATTTCTGCAGGATCCTAAGGGTAACGAAAAAAAGAGGTTGAGGTTGATAAAGAAATATGGAGTTGAAGACCCTTTTTACTGTTATATTTTTGGGGATATACTTTATGTGTTTCTAAAAACACTCGTGGATGTGTGTGTTGATATTCTTGTCATTTTAAGGACTTCTTGGACCGGATTTGATTTACTCGAGACGAGTAAAGGTTTAAGTGTGGGGGTGTTTGATGCACACTAATTAGTAGTGCATAATTATATGTTTTTATGTTTGATTTATGTTGATTGTTTGACGTTTTATTTAGTTTGTAAACATTTATATGATTTCAGTTGTAATTGTATTTTAGTCTTTATTTATAAGTTGTAAAGTATAGTTAGGATTTGTGGTGTTGGAAAGGAAGACTTTGAAGAGAAGAAAACAAGAAATTTGACTGCCCAGGAGTAAAACCCGACCGGGTAGAAACCCCCACCCGGTCGGGTATGATTTAACAGACGAAATTGCCAAGTAAATCACTAGACCCGGTCGGGTCCCCTACTTGACCAGGTCGGGTCAGATGTGATCCGAGACAAAACAACGTGCGAAGATCACCAGAACGTGGCGGATTATCTGATTTTGACCGGACCCGGTCGGGTAAGTACTTAACCCGGTCGGGTACCCGACCAAAGGTGTTGAAAAACACCTATAAATAGCACTCTTTTTCCTCTCTAAAAAATCAGCCCTTCTTCCATACTCTTAAGCTCAGTTTAGAATAGCATTTCTTTATATTTTTCTAGATATGTTTAGTCTCCAAATGAGGACCTAAACTTCCATTCTTGGTTTTGCTCTTGAAGCTTGTTGATTATTAATGTGGTGAGTTATTTTCTTCACTTCTTCTCTTGATTATTAATTCTTCCCTTAATCTCATTCTATATTAATGTTGGAGGGTTGCTAAGTGACGATTAGTTAACGTTCCGACATTAATTACTACTAGAAACTATCAACGAACCGATGGTTAATCGTTGGTGGTTTCACAAGTAAGTAACTTCGGTTTATTAATGCACGGTCGTGATTAATAGACTAAAGAGGGATCAATTTTGTTGGTTAAACCGAAACCGTTGTGTTAAGGTTATCAATCTCAATTGATTTCATCAAGGAGTTAAAAAGATTGAATGATACTATTATATCGGTATATGGCGTTGTTCTATATTTGATTAATAGTAAGGGTTATTAATGAACGGTCGTTGTTAATAACTAACCTCGATGAATTGGAGATACTACTCGATTGAGTATTCGAGAGGGGATAAGTTATAGATATAACAAGGATCGACTAAAATATATCAACAAGTGGAAAGTAGCAAAGTCATGTCCTTTTTATCCTTGAATTAAATCTCATACAGGTCGTTCATCTCAGCTTTTAATTTAATCAAATCATTCATCACTAAAACCCCTCTTTATTTACTAAAGTTTCATAAAAAGAGAATTGTTCCTTTCCCTGTGGATATGAACTCTACTACGCTATACTACGTATAAGTGTTAGTATCGAATTATTTTGACGCACCGTGACAAAGTGCTCGTCAAATATTGTAGAAGATTAAGGAAGTAGGAGTGTCTAGAAGGATCTTATGAGACCTATAAATAGAGCACTCCTCACTCATTTTAACATAAGCCAAAAACTCCAAATCAATAAAAGTTCCAAGTTCTCCAAAAAATCATCTCTCTCTAAAATTCTCTCTTCTACACACAATCACCGAATTTTAATACTCATAAACTACTTTCTTCCAACAGATTTACATGTTACCTAGCATACTTCGTATTTTACCATGGGTACGTGGTAATGGTAGCATTATATACGAAGTACATATTAGTAACAATACATCAATACATATTAGTAACAATACATCGATTACATCCCTTTTACTTATCTATCATTTTCCAATGATGAACTTTAATTAATACGGAGTATATATTTGCCAAACTTATAAATTTATACTCTTATGGTAATATTTTTAAAAAGAACGTTTCTATATCATATTTTTTTGCTTATATAATAACAGATAACTAACGTTAACATAGTTCTTTTTCCGTTTAATTCTGAACGCACGTCTAGGGTTTATGCAAAAATTTACATTTTTGGAGCATCGATTCCTTCAACGTGCAGTTGCTCAACCGCAAAAAACTTCCAATTGCAGTTCATATATATTACAGGCTACGCCATGCATTTCTTCCACTTTCGCCGTGCTGCCCTTCCGATTCTCCAAGGTAGTCATTCGTAATCTCCTAACTCACTTAATCGGCTAGCCATGCAATTCATTCTGAAATTGCTAATTCACTCGTCAATGTTGAAACCTCCGTATATGTTCACGCTTATTAATCATCTAGGCTCCTTTCCAAGATTACCTTGTTTACACATTTAGCAAACAAACCGTTTTTACCAACCATTTTGATCATGAATGTCCATTACGTGTTCGACGAAATGCCTTAACCACCATTATTTAAAATGTAGAATTCAGTTGTACATGTGGAATGAACTCTTGCGTTTAAATAACACTTAACCATGGTAGAACACACTCATACATTCACTTATAATTCTAAAACATGTCTCATTTTCCGTTTACATGTTCATTGTGTTGGAAATAAGTTAAGGAAGATTTGGGAAATTGGGAGGCTAAATTAGAAATATTATGAAAGAGATATTTGAATAAAGTGGAAGAACTCTTCTTATTAGAACAACTCAATTTGTTTTATTTGCTTGATTCAAAGTGGGTGTAGGAGACCTCTATTTATCCTAGTACAAAGATATCTAGATTCTTCTACAATTAATGCATTTACACAATTCTACTCAATTAATTATAGGATAGTTCTAGACCACATCTTCTAGAGAAGCTCTAGAATTTATTCCTTCTACATTTTTCTATCACTTGGGTCTTCCGAACAACAACTAAAGTAAATATTAATTAGGCCCAAAAACAAGTTCAATTTTCAACATCCCTCCTTAAATTTGTTTTTGTAACTCCGAGCATGATCCTCAACCTTCGAAAATCTTCGTGCTTGAGCGGCTTCGTGAAAATGTAGGCGATTTGATCATAGGACCTTACATATACCGTAATTCAACCTCTTTTCTTTCAATGCATTCTTGAATGTAGTGATAGTGGGTATCAATGTGCTTACTTCGGTCATAAAATACCGGATTCTTTCCCAATGCTATTGCGGACTTATTAGCCACAAATATATCTGTAGTTTCCTTTTGTGTCATGCCTATTTCTTTGAATAAATTTTGGAGCCATATAGCATGACAAACACAAGAGTTTGCCGCAACATACTCGGCTTTACATGTAGAGAGGGTCACAATAGGTTTTTTTATTTGAACTCCAAGTAAAAGCCGTATTACCCATAAGAAAGACAAATCCAGTAGTACCCTTACACTCATCTACATCTCCGGCTCAATCACTATCACTATATCCAACAACCTTGAAATCTTTGCAAGAATTGTAAAACAAGCCAAAGTTAAGAGTACCTTTGATGTAGCAAAGAATTCTCATTAGTAAAAATTTGTTAAACTGCGTCACGTCATTTGAGGCGCTTAAAAAACACGCGCCTTTAAAATATACGACGTGCGGCGCTTTTCTCTCTAAGCGCCTCTAATATGTATTTAATTTTTTAATTATTTAATGTTTCGGATCTTTGCGGCGCTTATATATAAAAGCGCCGCCAATATTTAAATTAAATTTTGATATTTAGAAGCGCAGGTAGGAGCGCCAAAACGAAAAATTTGAATAAAATTTTAAAATTTATCAAGGCTTCTGCGGCGCCTAATTAATGAAAAGCGCCGTATTAGAAAAATATTTTTTTTAGTTCTTTAGGAGGTGCCTATATCTCAAAAGCGCCGCAGATCGACGCCAAATTTTTATTCAAAAAAATCTAATTTTTTTAAAAATCGGATTTTAAAAAGAGGCGTGCGGCGCCTATATGCAAAAAGCGCCGTATACATTTTCCGGTTTCTTAGGAGGCGCTTATATTTAAAAAGCGCCGCAGACCGACGCCAAATTTTTATTCAAAAATAAACTAAGTTTTTAAAAACTCGGATTTTAAAAAGAGGCGTGCGGCGCCTATATGAGAAAAGCGCCGCATAAACTGTTCCATTTTATTTCGCCATGGCCGGTCGTCGCTCGCAGTACTAATCGATTCAGCAGAGATAAACCCTAAGCCGGCCGCTACGTCGCACCTAGTCCGTGGCCCAGCCGTCGCACCTCCGCCGTCGCACCTCCGCCGCTCCTCTGCTCAACCGACAACGCTCCTCCGCTCACCTTCGTTGCCGTCGAGGGTCGTCCGTCGCTCACTACAGCCGCGCACAGCCGTCGATTGTCGTCCGCGTCAAGTGTGCGACGAGCTCCGGTCGTCCGCCGCTCAATCCAGCCGCGCGCAGTCATCGAGGGTCGTCCGTGTCAAGTGTACTTCGAGCTCCGGTCCTCCGGTCCGCTTGCCGCCGTCGAGCTCCGGTCCGCTTACTCCAGCCATCGGTCTCCCATTTCACAGCAGGTATGTATATTTTTTAATAATAAATTTTTTCAATATTTTTTATTTTAATTAATTTTGAGTAATATAATTTTGGAATAGTTGTAATGAGCAGCAAAACACTTCCAAGAGGTTGTTTTATATTAGCATAACCCTCAATTGCAATCTTACATAAAAAGTGTGCTTAAAAAGAAAAAAAGTATGCAATAATTTATTATTATTTTATTTTTAGATAAAGTTTAGTGTTGTTAATCATGGATCGTAGCTGGATGTATGGTTTGCGAAATACTTCTCAATTTTTCAATGGTGTTCATGAGTTTGTGAAAGTGGCTGTTGCGCATCAGAAGCAACAAGGACAAAAAGGAATTTTATGTCCTTGTTCAATGTGCCGTAACATTAAAAGAGAGAATGACGTGAACATAGTTCTTCAGCATTTATTTGAGAAGGGTTTTAGAGAAAACTATATGACATGGACATTCCATGGTGAGAATCGTGTGGATGTCGAATACCTTTTTCCTGGAGCAACTTCTAGTCATCTAAAGCGTAAAGCTACTCATATTACTACTACTTCAAATGATATTGATGATGGTGTTGCGGATAATGATGTCAATGAAGATAGAATTGATGAACTCTTGAATGATGTTCATGATAATTTTGATTATCAACCAAAATCTTATGAGAATTTGATTGAGGCCGCTAATATACCGCTATTCACGGGTTCTGAATTCTCCAAATTATCTGTTGTTCTCAAATTATTTTACTTGAAAGCTAAACATGGGTGGAGTAATGTTAGTTTCACTGAGTTGCTGATATTGCTTCAAGAAATGCTTCCAGAAGGAAATACACTTCCTGATACAAGCTATAAGGCTAGAAAATTGTTGTGTCCAATGGGAACAGAATGGGAGAAGATTCATGCATGCCCAGCCGATTGCATACTGTACCGCAATGAATATGAAAACCTAAATGAATGTCCAAAGTGTCACGCTTCACGTTATAAGAAAAAGAAGAAGGGTATTAATGTTGGGTTTGATGCTGAATACACCAAAACACCTGGACGTGTACGCGGTGTTGGAGGAGGTGTGGGGCATAAAAGAGTGTTTGAGCGAGAGACGAGGAGTTCACGTAAGATTGGTAATTTGAGCGATACTGATTTGAAGAAGTTACAGGATCAGTGGATGAAAGATATGGAAAAAGCTTTTGCTCAAAGAGGATTCCAATCTACCACATTTCCATCTACGCATTCTCAAACAGTAGACACTATGAACTCCACTGCACCTATTCCACGAATTTTTGTTGTTGTAAGTAATTATTAAAATCATATATATTTATTAATGTCTACAATATTTATTAACTTTTTTTTTTGAAAATAATTATAGGACGGTTCATCCTGTAAGCTAGCTGTTGAGTCACAAACAGAAGATGGACACAAAGATTTGAAATATGTAGCAATGGCTTTGGCTTATAATACCGCCCCGGGGACCATGATACATAATATTCCGATGTCTGCTAATACCATTAAAGTTAACATATCTATGATTTATACAGGTTTTGTGAAATGTCATCCTTTGTTTCCATATATAGTGTTCACAGATTTTGTGAGATGCAAATCTTTAAATGTTATTATTATTTAAGTTTGTTTTTTGTTTCAATGGTTTTTACAGGTTTTGAGCAATGTACTCTTTTAGTTCCAAATGAAAATGCTGAGATATATGTGTTGACAGACGCTATAGGATCATTTGTTGAGTGGCCTAGTCATTTAGTTTTTTTTGAAGGAGAGGTGAATAAATAACTCTTTGCAATTATCAAACAATACAAAATTACTCTATGTTACTGTCATTCTGACCATTTTTTAGGATCAGGTAAAGTCAAAGCGGAAAGATGTGATTCAAAAGAATAAAGCTTTTATTCCGAGAGAGTCTCCTCGGGTTGTGGTTCCTCCTAGCACATACCCATTGGTTAGTGATACTATTTTGCAGTCACTAACCGAAGATTTATTGGAGCTACATGAGACGCTAGAGTGGTATGAGCCAGAGGTGTGTAAATTCTCTATTGCTTTACCTGTTGATGCTTTTCACTATCCGCAAAACAGTTAATTTGGGACTATCATCGATCGTAAAGACTTGGCTGAATTACTCGAGGGTGATTCTGTGGATATGTGCATCATTCAATCCTTTGCATTGTAAGTATTTTAAATAAATATAACAATATTTAAATTAAAGTTAATGAAATGATTTGAACTTCAAAATTGTATAATGATGCTATATTATGTTTATTATAGGTGTGCCTTAGCTAAATTGAATGATTTGCAACGTGATTATGTTGTGCTTTTGTGCCCCTTATTGTGCTCTTATGGTTCTTATCAATTTGACAAGAAGGACACAATAACATATATGAAACAATCATTGTGTGCGACATTTGGAAAAAGAATGATCTTGCTTCCATATAATGAAGGGTAAATAGTTTTATTTTATATAGTGTATCTGTTTATGTAAATTTAATTTTTTTAATTAATTGTATTTTTTTTATATTTAGATTTCATTGGATTTTGATAGTCATTTGCCCCTCGGTTAATAAAGGCTATATCTTCAATTCAATCCCAAGCTTTTCTAATATCAGCATTCAGAAAGATCTAGCATTGTAAGTATTCTTTTAATATTTTTTATTTATTTAATTGCTATAGATTATTATTATTATTATTATTATTATTATCATATAACATAAATTTTTTAATATAGAGCATACAGAGTTGCTTCCGCAAGAAATGGTGATGGGAAGCCAATCACATGGCATAATGTTAAGGTAAATTCATCAATAACTTATTTCAATCACCATTAACTTTGATACATATATTTTGTAAATTTGTATTTCAAAAAAGTGTGCCAGACAAAACGAAAACACAGAATGCGGATATTATACCATGCGATACATATGGGAAGTGATTTCGTATGTTGATAGCTTTGATATTGGAAAGGTATATCATTATTTATTCTTATTTTTTAACTTCGTTTAAATTTTTCTAATTTAAAAGTTGTAATATTTTTTATTTATGTTTTATTTTATCTAAATATTTGTAGGATTGGTATTCAAGAACTGAGGCATATTCTGAAGATGACTTTAATAACATTCGCAATATATGGGCACGATTTTTCTTGGATGTACTCTTAAATATGTAAAAGTTGATTACATTGGTTATGTATTGTGTTAAGTGTTTTTTGAAATCATTTTTATGAAGATTTTTGTAATCTATGTTGGTTACTTGAATTGCTTACACTTTACTGATTTTGTAATTTGTGAAGTTCATGTTATTGATATTGTGATTATTTTAAAAAGTTTACACTTTTGGTATTTTGTTAATTCTGTTCCAGGACGTACTTTTGAAAGATCCTAAATACAATGGAATTTTTTTAAAAAAATGTTGAATACTTGCGGCACTTATTTGTGTAAGGCGCCGCGAAACTTAAAAAAAATAAATTAATTTAATTTATTTAAAAAACATTTGCGGCGCTTATATAAAGAAAGGCGTCGCAAGGTTACGTCGAAAATTATTAATTTAAAAAAATATTTTGCGGCGCCTATACGCAAAAAAGCGCCGCACACATATTAAATATATTTTTTAAAAAAATAAAACATTGGCGGCGCTTTTTGAAATTAAGCGCCGCACAGGTTAAATTGCGGCACCGAGATTTGCGGCGCTTAAAAGCGCCGCACGTTGGGTGATTTAAGCGCCGCAAAAAGATAATTTTGCACCAGTGTCTCTTGGCGGCCTTCCAATGAGAGGTTCTTGAATCTTCCATATACCGGCTAATGAGACCAATTCCGTAGAAAATGTTGGGCCTTGTACAAGTCAAGTATTGTAAGCTCCCAACTAAGCTCTTAAACATTATGGGTTCCACCTTTTCCTCATCACCAAACTTGGATAATTTTACCCCACAATCCACCGGTGTATTGATTGGATTACAATCATCCATTTTAAACTTTTCAAGGTTTTTCTATGCATATCCTTCTTGACCGATAAAAATTCCACTTTCACTTTGTTTCACCTCAATTCCCAAATAATAAGACATTAAGCCCATATCGATCATTTCAAATTCTTGACTCATTGCCTTTTTGAAATTCTCAAATAAATGAGGATTATTTCCCGTGAATATTAGATCATCAACATAAACGCAAACAATCAAGATATCTCCATTTTCCTCCTTTTTGACATAAAGAGCATGTTCATGGGGACATTTTATGAAACTATTTGCTTGGACATAGTTATCAATTCAAGTATTCCAAGCTCTTGGGGCTTGCTTCAAATCATAAAGTGTCTTTTTCAACTTTAGAACTTTATCTTCATGCCCTTATATTTTATATCCCAGTGGTTGTTCTAAATAAACTTCTTTTTCTAACTTTCCATTTAAAAATGTGGACTTCACATCCATTTGAAAAATTTTCCATTTATTTTGAGCCACCAAAGTAATTAAAAATCTTATTGTTTCCAAGCGGGCAACGCGAGCAAATATCTCTTCATAGTCGATACCGGCTCTTTGGTTGTACCCTTTTGCAACCAACCTTGCTTTGTACCTTTCAACTTCCCCATGACATTCTTCTTCTCTTTAAACACCCATTTTGCACCAATTGCTTTGTGTCCTTTATTTGGGTAAAGTGGCCAATTCCCATGTATCATTTTTTATGATGACCTTCATTTCTTCATCCATGGCTTCCCTCCAATTCTTGTCGTTAGCCGCTTCTTCAAAACATATTTGTTCACAATTGGCAAGAAGACAAAACAATGTAAGATCATTTCTATTTTCGGTTACCTCATATAGCTCTTGTATGCTCCTTAAGCGAGACGGCCTTTCGATTGAGTTGTCTTCACTTGTGGATCCTTCTTGCTCGGGTGATAGTGGAGTTGGACTCGTGGGCTCTTCATGGGCCAACTCTTGCTCCTCTTCTTCTTCATTGTAGTAAGGGAAGAAATTGTAATCTTCTTCCTTTTGAGTCCAATCCCAAGTGTTCTCTTCATCAAACTCAACATCGCGGCTAACCACAATTTTTCCATTGCTTGGATTGTATAACTTGTACCCCTTTGCTCTTGCATCGTATCCTATAAAGATAAACTTCTCACTTTTGTCATGCAATTTGCTTCTTTTTTTATCCGGCACATGAGCATAAGCAATACTCCCAAAAACTTTCAAGTGGGCGATTCCGGGCTTTCTTCCACTCCATGCTTCTTCGGGGGTTTTGTTCCAAACACTTCTAGAAGGAGATCGGTTTGACAAATAAACCGCACAATCCACGGCTTCGGCCCAAAATTCTCTTGGAACATTTTTGCTTTTAAGCATTCTTCGAACCATATTAAGAAGGGATCGATTTTTTCCTTTCAACGACTCCATTTTGTTGTGGAGTATATGGAGCCGTTAAGGGGCGATGAATACCATTTTCTCCACAAAAAATTTCAAATTCTTTTGAAGTGAATCCCCCCCCCCCCCCCCACCACGATCGGATCTCATGGATTTTATTTTAAACCCGCTTTCATTTTCAACATGAGCTTTAAATTTCTTGAAGGCCCCAAAAACGTCGGATTTTTGTTTTAGAAAATAAACTCATGTTTTCCGACTAAAATCATCAATGAAAAGAGCAAAATAATTACTACTTCCGAGAGAGCTTGGTTTAATTGGTCCACATATATACTTGGTTGCTTTCCAAATAAACATCCCTCACACATTTGATTAGATTCATTTATTTGGGGCAAACCTTTCACCATATTTTTTACACTCAACAATTTTAAACCTCCAAAATTAAGATGCTCAAACCTCAAATGCCAAAGCCATGATGCATTTTTAAAACATGCTTTCAAACATTTAGCTCCCCCCTTTTCAATGTTTATGAAAACTTTCTATTTTTTGACATTGGTACTTTATCAACCAAAACTCCATTTTTATCTCTCATCAAAAGGGTATGATTTTTCATATGAATATCATATCCTTTTTCCAAAAGTTGCCCCAAACTTAAAATGTTTGATTTCATGTTGGGCACATAGTAGACATTAGAGATGAAATCATTCTTTCCATTTTTCAACCGGATTGAAACTTTCCCCTCCTTTTACCAGAATTTTTTATTCATCCCCAAAATAAATATTTCCACTTACCGATTCATCAAGCTCGGTGAACATATCTCTCTTCCCGCACATGTGGTTGCTAGCTCCCGTATCTAAGTACCAAGTCATTTTGGATTCACTTTCTCTTTCTTTAAGAGTCATCAATAATGTTTAATTTACTTTTTCTTCCTTGGCAAGATTTGTCCGCTTCTTAACTCCGTTTTTTGCCAATCTACAATCGGAGGCATAATGACCAAATCTTTGACAATTATAGCATTGAACTTGAGGTTTATCATACCTTGGTCTTGAAAACCCCTCTCTTCCTCGGCCTCTTTATGGATAGAAACTTGGACTTCTCTCATCTTTGTTGAAAGTCTTGTAGCCACCTCTTCCATAGGTTTGACTTTGACCGCGCCCTCTTGAACATTGACTTCTTCCCTCTTGGAAAATCTCTTTATTTTTTAAGGTGAGCTTGGTTTGAAGGGCTTGCTGCAATGGCTCTTGCTTTAATCTCTTCTTGAGTTTTTCTTGATGAGCTTGAAGAGATCCCAAGAGATTATCAACAGTCATTGTTTCTATATCTTTAGATTCTTCTATTGCCACAACTATGTAATCGAATTTTGAATCTAAAGACCGTAGAATTTTTTCAACCACACGATTGTCTTTGATTTCTTCTCCATATCTTCTTAGTTGATTCACGATGATTTGAACTCTTAAGAAATAGTCGTCAATAGATTCCGAAGAGTTCATGTTTAAAGATTCAAACTGACGTCGAAGACTTTGAAGTTTTACTTTCTTCACCTTATCTACTCCTTTGAATGAATTCTCTAATATCTCCCAAGCTTCTTTGCTTGTAGTTGCACATGCCACCTTTGCGAACATAACTTCATCCAAAGTTTGATGGATGATGATAGAGGGCGCCTTTTGATCTTTCTTCTTAGTACTCTTTAAGGAATTCTTTTGATTTTGATTTAAGGCGTTGATGTCCTCGGGTTCCTCGAAGCCTTCCTCTACCATGTCCCACACATCTTCCGAACTAAGTATTACCTTCATGCGAATACTCCAATTATCATAATTCTCCTTTTTTAATGGAGGAACTTGAAGAAAACCGGCCATTTTTGGGTGATGACCGAACGACTCTGATACCATTGTTGGAAATAAGCGAAGGAGGATTTGGGAAATTGGGAGGCTAAATTAAAAATATTATGGAATAGATATTTGAACAAAGGGGAAGAACTCTTTTTATTAGAACAACTCAATTTGCTTGATTTGCTTGATTCAAAGTGGGTGTAGGAGACCTCTATTTATACTAGTACAAAGATATCTAGATTCTTCTACAATTAATGCATTTTACACAATTCTACTCAATTAATTATAGGAAATTGCTAGACCACATCTTCTAGCTAGAGGAGCTCTAGAATTTATTCCTTCTACATTTTTCTATCACTTGGATCTTCCGAACAACAACTAAAGTACATATTAATTAGGCCCAAAAACAAGTTTAATTTTCAACACATTGTTTACAATACTCATGTTATTAATTATCATCTGACATAGAGAAAGAGGCATACACATATTGACTTGCTTTAACAATGAATTTAAAAGACCTATATTTATTAAAAGTAAAAATTTACAAATAAACAACTGCAAGAAAACTTTTACTTTGCAACCTTCAATGCACACCAATTCCTCAAAAAAACCAAACAGTACAATTAAGCATACTTTACTTCTTTAAGACAAAGCAAATCACTTTTATGTGCCAGGGTTATACAAATTAGTTTGGTAGTCGTTAAGACCTAGGGTTCCATCCTAAAGGCCAACCTTATAGGAGGAGTAGATCAAAGTATATTATATAGTGTGTTATTGTTTTATAGCTTTCCGGTGCGAGACAAATACTTTAACACGCTCTCTCAGTCCAAACCGGGTTGGACAATATCGATGTATATAAATGGGCCAAACAGACCCTCAACAAGCTTCTCTTAATCATGAGTGCTAAACAAGCAGTCCAATCACAACCGGAATTGACTCTGATACCACGTTAAGACCTGAGGTTCCATTTTAAGAGGTCAATTGATAGGAGGAGTAACCCAAAATCTTATATAGTGAATTATTGTTTTATAATTTTCGAGTGTGGGACAAATACTTTAAGAGTAGTGCGTGTTTAAGCCTTTTCTTTATCCTCCCTGGTAGTACACATGTTTCACACTTCATACTTTTTGTTAATTAGAATTTTAAATTACCAGGTTTATAAATATACA